TGATACCAGGCAAATAGAAACCTCGTAAAAAATGTATCAAGAAAAATGAAGTGAACAATACGAAAGCATGCTAACTTTTAAACACTCACATTTCTTCATTAAGCTGTATCAAGTCAATGTCCAATGGATCGGGACCCGTATCTCCTTGCGTGGGTCGACTTGCTATAGGCCGTTCCTGAAATTGGTGGCTATCTTCTTGTAAGATATGAGTACATATATTTGCTCCTCCCTTAATGCGCATCACGATTTCGCTGGAGACTACCTCTCATCCCCTCCTCGAGTTTTCATATCGGAAACAATCAATAAACAAACTATTTACGCCTCAAACATTGCACGTTTCTTTAATATCCCTTTTCAATGTTTGAATCTGAAATCAGTTTTAGCCCTGCTAACTACTATGAGCGCAAAATGCACAATCACACAGCCTAAAACAGAGAAACCATTCCCGCAGCAATAATCTTGTTCCTTAGCAACAATTTTTACTACCCTTCGTTCAGTACATAACTCCATTAATATGAAGAGGCACATTAAACAGTAATTGAAGAGAGCGGATGCTGATGCCGACCAAACTGCCAACAAATCTAGTTCTTCAAATAAAAGAATAAAGCATTTGCCGTTGATCAATCCCTTTTTGGGATGCGGCACGCATTCTACTTCCATTTGTACATTCGTAGTGGCATTTGAATGCGATGTGGCCTAAATAATGACCTGCCTTGCGGAAGTGTAGTGGCAAATGGCGCTGCTTACGCACGAGATCCAGGCATCGAATCCTGGGGCCTGCGCCGTCCGGCCTAACCCAGCCTTCAATTCCTCAGGGGTCGATAATCATGTAAATGAGATATTTGCACTAAAAATGCTGTCAAACGGTACATCTGCGAAACGGTTCGAGCTCCAACGCCCAAGCAATCCTGCTGGTGTTCTTGTGTAACTTCAAATAACCAAACGATATAAAGATATTCTCAGAATTTATGAGCTGTACGGAAACCATCTGCTGAGGGGTTCTATCGAGAGCTAAGCAAGAACGAACAACTCGAAATAAATCTCCTCGCACCAACTTCCGGTTTCAACACGCAGATGACATCGCGCGTTTTGATTTTTCGCCACGTGTGACCGGCGCGAGCACCTCACCTCACACCCGTGAATTTTGAGCTCTATTTATAGTGATAAGAATTTGACTAGAATGGTGTTTTATGGCTATGGAAAGGCTTTGCCATTTCGTCCTCAACGCTCCCTCACCTGAACTGGAGGGTATTAAAAGAATAATAACATCAAGAAACTACGATCCCTTAATACTGATCGGTCCCCGTTAATTTGTTCCCCAACCACATATACTGATATGAAAGGTGTTTCTCGGATGGAAACACAGATAGGCATACCGATTAACGAACCAATCGTAAAATACCGGGGTGTCTTCTAAGACTAAACTCAGAAGGAAGCAAGAACTTCAGGAAAAAGGAAACTGCTAACGCAATCTGGAGCTGATCCCCACCTAAAAGGAGATGCTGAGCAAGGTTTCGAACGCATTGCACCCCAATGCCCTGGTATTACGATAGCCGCGAAAAAATTGTTGGTGAGTGAGACAGTACTGGTCTACATAACAATGGGGTATTGCTGCTTTTATGTGCGATTATAAGAACGAATGATAAAGAGTTCGAGTGCAAAGACGGTAATCTCGGTTGCTAATCTAGGCTTAAAAACAGGTTTTCCAAGAAATCCTCGTTTCGTCATAAAGCAGTGCTTGTATGAGAAAAAAGAACAATGGATGGAAAGAACATGGATGTTCACGGATGCTATAGATTGTAGGACCTCAAGGTAAGAAAAAAGTCACAATCACTCACCCTTCTTTCGGGGGTTTCAGCTGGTTTGGCGTGCGTCAAGGTAAACGGGAGCTCAGCCACTAGTTCTCCGCCGAGCGGTCCAGCAATCGCAGCTCGTATTTTGACTCGATAAGCAACAACAATGCCTAGGCTCTCCTTCGTCGTTGACGGTTGCATTCTACAACTTTTGATAGATCTCAAAATGATAAAAAAAAACCGAAAAAAAATCCGAACTAATATAGATTTTATTATAGTTATGATAAGAACATAGCTGTTTCACTCACATTGTACTCGAAGCAAGATTCGTGTCTTCGTGTTTCAACTGCCCATCCAATGCTAAACCTCGTTTATCCTTATTGTTACGCAATAACGGGCAGACGGAGTACACTTTTGAAAGCGTGGCCCCAGGTCCAACTGGGAAGCCTTCACTAAAACAAAGGGAGGCTAATTTGACTAGAAAGCTTATATCGTGCTCAAGAAGAACTTGAGATCATGACATCAGCAAGTGTTTGAATTCTGAGAGTACACATAACTAAACTCACGCGCTTTCAACCCGTGCAACTTCACATGTGTAGGAGGCAGTCGTAAAAAGGCAAATGTCTGCGATTTGAACAACGCTTACCTATAAAGTCAACATTATTTAAACAGTAAAGATAAGGTACGGATTCAACAAAAGAAGCATGATCCAAACGTAACAAGGAAAATCAAAAAAAAAACATACTAAAGCGCTACAAGTCATAACAACTAGGCACCAAAGAACGGACCTTCAA